CGCTAAGAAAACTTACTGCTGGGGCTAGGACTCTCCTCAGTGAAATACAGGGCTCTCAAGTCCATGTGCTCTTATTTCTTTTAATTTTCTTTATTAAAAAAAAAAAATCCTGGAAGAAATAGAGGGAGTAAAAATGACAGGAGGGACTGAAGGCCTTACAAACTTACTCTCTTTTGGGTATAATAAAGGGCTCCAGAATGCTACTTGCCACCTTTGTCATGCACTCAGACCATGGTGATGTGTGTGGTACAGAAGTTCAAAGAAATGCAATCATTCCCTCCTCAAACACCTACGGTGGCTTCTTATTCATTTCAGGTGTGGTGTCTACTGATCTGCTCTGGGTTTGAACCAGCAATCTTGAGATAAGTCAGTGTCCGACTGCAATGCACTTGAGCCATCCAGTTCCCCTTATATTTGCCTCTTATTTTGTCTCTTCCTCTGTCGTTATTTAACATTGTGAAGCATTTGGTACGCAGTGTCTATGAAACACATCCTCAACAGGGAAAAGGGTATTCTGTTGGCCTTTCCTGAAATTCTTGCTGCTTGGGAGGCATAATGGTGATAGACAGCTAATCTGCTGGACTCTACACACCTGGTTCCAGGTCAGCAAAGGCAGAGCAGATAGTTATCCTGGAGCTCAGCTAGCTGCCCTTGGACAGGAACCTGTTTCTTTTCAATCCGGCGTGGCATTAGTCAGCATTTAAACATTAGGGTGAAGAGCGATATAAATGCCTGGCACAAAGCTAGAGGGTGAAATCCTATCCCCATTGACTTCAGTGGGGCAGGATTTCACCTAAGCTAGGTTGCACCTAGATACCACCCTAGTAAACTGCTTAGAAATAGCGAGAGTAGCTTTGATATAGGGACTGCATAGTTTGGACTGAAAAACTAAGACACATGAACTGAGGAGCAGAAAGTTTCCTAGGCGCTGAGCCCTGCTGATTTCCTTTGCCTTCGTGTTTGTTGCTTTTTAGTTGCACCCATTGTTGTTTTCCAGAGTTTAAAGACGTTTTAACTGTAACAAACCACAGGCGCTGTAGCTCATCTCCTGCCGACTGCAGGAGTGTCGGGATTAGACTCTTCAAATGAGGCACTCATCCTGGGCAATATAAATCAGTTGGAGCTGTAAAAATAGTATCTTAAGAGAAATTCTCTCCACGATGTTGAGGGCAGTAGCTTCCCACCCACACAGTCCCTGCATGGATCTCTTTACCAGGAACAAACACTGTACCATTTATTTTCTATACCTATTTATTCTTCTGCTCTTCATTGTCATACTGCCAAGGTTCCTTGTAGCTGTGAGATCCATTCAGGCGGGTGCCACCTAGAGTTTGTGCCCTGGTTCTTGTTTCAGTGCAGCAGGTCATGCAGGCAAGGATCTACAAGCTGAGACCTCGCTTTAATAATAGATTTTCACTATTGAGAGGAAAATAAAAAGAATTGTGAGGAGTGATGTGGTTCCAAGGCATGAGATTATCTTATCACAGTTAGTGTTAGTTCAGGGTTTGGGTCTTCCTGATATTTTGAAAGAGTGGTTCCTCGGTGGTGTTCTCTGTCTAGCGGCACCTTACAGACCTGATAACGAAAAAAGGGGCTAAACTGGCTCTTCTCTTCAAATGTATTTCACTCCCTTATAACAAATCCTTCTCAGATAATTTTGGACTCTTAATCTAAAAGGTGGTTCTTGCCACATAGCAAGTGGATCTATCCTTGATTACTCAAGTCAAGAGACAGCTTTAGGTCATGAATTTATACATGCAGAGACTGCAGTGTGAAGAGTAATGGTCTTTTGGGACTATTAGTGCCCACCTTTGGAGATAATTCACGTTATAGATCTACAACTATCTGATATGATTGGTAGTCACTCTTAAAACAAGCATGAAGGTGCATTGTCATAACTTTGTTGGGGTCAGGGATGACTTGAATGGACAGAGCTGTTCAGGGGACTGTTGTATCCTAAAACAGGGAAGACAGAAGAGGAGCACTTGATCTCTGAGGGTATGTCTAGACTGCGGTCACTGGTGTTTAAGCTAACTAGCTGGAGTGTCAAAGTAGCGAAGCTGCAGCAGTGAAAAGCGCACTCTGGAACACCTGCTTCCAGGGCAGAACTAATCCGGAAACTGAGCGAACTAGATTAAAGCTAACTCAAATATGTCTGTCTGAGCAATGATTGCAACCTAGACATACCTTGAGAGGAGCCAGTCACTTGTGGTTAGTCCTTTGGCTTGCTCTCTCTTTCTAAAGTAAGGTGTTATGCTGTACTTTTCTAATTTACTTCCCTCACGACAAACGCTGTATAAATAGCACAACAGAAAAGGAAAATACAGTAACTGACAAGAAATCTACAATGCCCACCAGCTTTTACATGTTGCTCCCTTTGGAAAACTGTATTCCGCCTCCACCTCCCAGATTGTATTTTCTCCTTTTGTTTATTTGTATCCTCCTTGCACTCGCCATGTCTGTAGCCCTTGGTTGAATTTGTAAGTGTGAGGATCTTGGGGCAGGGACTTCACCTTTGTATTTGCCTGTAAAGCAGCATCCACCTCTCTAAACAAAGCAACACAACTAGCTGCTGTATTGAAGGTGTAATGGATGATGCATTTCAGCCTGCATCAGTAATAAGTGACCACAATAAAATGGCGGCAGCAGCCGCCGCTAACACCAAAGCTGAATTTGCCCCTTTGTTTTTCCTTAAGTGGGAGTTCCCGCAAGCCACGCTTCACTCCGAATTCGCTGACGTTCCAGAGCACGCTTCCTTTCCTGCAGAACCAGTATGGAATGATGGTGTCACGTACAGCAGGGGAGAGTCTCCGTCCTGCCCTAGCAGAGCTGGAAGGTGGTGGGGGGAGGCTGCAGGGAGCCAGTTGCAGCTCTCTGATCCTCCTCCACTAGCCTTGGTATAAACTAAAGCTGCAGGCGGCAGCGGTAACTTATACCACTGAGCTGTGGTCCCTGCGGAGAATTGGGCCTAGTGGAGCTCTGCTCCATCACTCCCCCACACCGTTCTAGTGGCGGCAGGAGAGCAATCACAGGAGGTTTGTCTGCTGGCAAAGAGTCACAGGAGAAATTCTCCACTAACCACCTCCTACTGCTTACGACCACTCTCTACTGCCTTAGCAGGTCATAGAATTTGGCCCAGTAACTCCAATTTTATAAAGAAAAATCATTCTGTTCACAGAATAATTGTCTAGTGAACTTAATTTCTCTTGGTGGACTATTCCAGCATAGTAGAGGAGGAGTATTCATTTTCCACCTCACTTCCCCAATATATAAGAAGAATGTAGCAAATCACTGCAAACTAAAAGATTAGGATCGTTCCATGCTGCGGGGTGGGCTGATGTATGAAAATGTTGCCCATTCCTAGTAGGGAACAGAGAATCACTTAGCCATGCACAGCGTTCTCCTTCAAAAATGTGTGCATTTTATAACACATTGCATTTGCAAGAGGGAATTGAGGTGAGGCTAAAAACTACAGACTGAGAATCGTTCTTGTGATAGGAATGATTCACCCTGAGAGTGATTTTGAGTTTACTAGTTCTGGCACCAATACTGAGAATGAGAGAAAAGTTCTGCACCGTAGGGGTGCTCCTGACAACATGCAGTCATTTATTAGCTCATTCATTTGGTTTTGGTTTGTAATTACATTTGGGATTGGGATTCTCTGCATTATTTTTAAAGGAAAAGGCATATGCTATTAGCCTTACTTCTTCTGTCTATGATCTTGTCATCTCACAAAGGGTTGAGCCTGGTTAGTACTTGGATAGGAGACCTCCAAGGGAAAGAAACATGATGCTGCAGGATGCTTTACCGCCTGTGCTAACTGTTCTGTATGTTCTTGAATGCAGTTAGAAGCTGCTGGATTTCACCCCAGAGGCAAGTGGCTGCAATTTCGTTGGTGGATACAACGGGGAGGGGGTGTGTGTGTTTGGGATTGTTGGGGATGGTAGTCCCTGTATAATACTAAGGGATCATTTATTGTTATATTTTTCTAATTCAATGCTCCTTTTCAGAAGAAAACCATTGGCACCAGCCATTTGAATTTTCCTAGTGCTTTGAAATTGTTCTTTCCTATGGCTACCTTGTGAAACAAGACAACTTTGGATTCTAGCAGGCTCTTTGGGGAGACAGTACTAACAGACCAAGTACTAACTTGGCACCTCTCACTGCTGCTAATGTTTTCCATCGTATATGCCCAAAGCCTAGGAATCCTGTGTCAAGTTTATTAGATGTAAGTGCTGTGGTATAGGTTGGATTATAACGAAAGGGGTATAAAGGTTTGACTCTAGTCTCATGAGGTTAGATTTGTTATTGGTGTTGTTTAGCTCGTAACATGAAACAGCAGAGTGTGATCCTGTTTCTCAAATACTTTACAGCTAGAAAAAACCATTAATATCCCAGTACGTCCCCACAGTGAACCTGTGGTTGGAGGTTTCCTTAGTTGCACGTTCCTCAGGGAAGGGATTGTGAGAGAGGGAAGGCGCTGAGTTAATGCTGCCAGCTTTGCTCAACAACCCCCTCCTTCTAGCTGTTGGTTTCCCAAGGCTCTGCTGCCAACTCAGGCCTGGTGTTCTGCTAATGGATCTATCTGTTCTTCTTGGAGTATGTGTCAGCCTAGATCCCATGTGACTGTTCATGTGCCTCGTGCATGCGAGGTTGGATTATTTTGAATAGCCATTTCTGTCGGGACCAGGCATGCACCCTGTACCCCCTTGTGCTTCCATGTGACAGCGTAAAGGGCAGAGCAGCTATAACCCTGCTGAGGTTCCCTCTTACTGCCCATGGCAGCGAGATGGAACGCAGCAAGTGTCCAACCTGCTCTTACACAGCTTCAAACTCATTTCCCCCCCTAACATTTTGGTGAAGAAACCTCCATCAGCCTCATCATTCCTAGGTGGTTTTTTTTTAAATTGGCTGTTTCAAAAAACAAATGAGAGGAACAGGGCCGGCTCTACGTTTTTCACCACCCCAAGCAGCGAAGGCAAAAAAAAGCTGCCGTCGTCATGCCGCTGCTGAGGGAACCAGGGGAGGAGCTGCCACCGTCATACTGCCAACGAGGGAACCGGGGGAGGAGCTGCCACCGTCATACCGCCGACGAGGGAACCGCCAGAGGAGCTGCCGCCGGCATGTCGCCGAAGAGGGAACCGGAGGAGGAGCTGCTGCCGGCATGCCGCCGAAAGCCACCGCAGTGCCACCCTAAGACCGCCTGGGAAGCCGCCCTTTCCTGTTTGCCGCCCCAGGCACACACTTGCTAGGCTGGTGCCTAGAGCCGGCCCTGGAGAGGAAAAAAAGATTCCCCCAGTATGCTCCTCTTTACAGAGGGACTAGTTTCCTTGTGCCTAGCACTATCAATCAGTGTTTAAACCCCACCTGATTGGCGATGAACTTATCCCCCTCATGGACAGGCATAGCCAATGCCTGTTCTGTTCTGAGGGGAAATCATATACCTGGTAAGTGTAAGTGTGCAGTGTGCGAACCGTTCTTCTTGAGGATGCGTAAGTTGAGGAATGTGCAGCTGATACCATTCCTGCTCAAACAATCGATGCGCACCACCTTGGTCCCAGAAGAATGAAAAGAGCCATCTTCAGTGAATGCTTCCTCCAGCAGACATCACACCCCATTGTCAAGCAGTGACAGAAAAGCAGGATAGAAAATGTTGTCAAAATTGGCACCGACTATCTTGGCAAGGGCCATTGACACAGGCTATTATTGTTGGAACTGACACTGGTGCCTCAATCCAAGGGAAAGACTGAAAGGGGCCAAGCAGAGTCCATACACAACTCTAAACATTGGGAGACACTGTCCTGGAAGGAGGAGAAGAGACAACACTCCTCCAGAGACAGGGAATCTAAGCCCACTACCAAGGTGAGAGCAACACTCAGAAAACCATCGCCGATAACACCACCAGCATTGACCATCACACCAATTATAGGCCCTACATATGCCCTCCCGGAATTACCTAGATCCCCTCCGGGGACATCTTTGACATGGGGCCAACACCCAGCACCAGTCTCAGAGTGCAAGCCCACAGAGACTCTGCATGTAGAAACCATTGAGCCTACATCCAAAGGAGTGGATATGTGCTACCAAGTGCCCCGAAAAATTTCAAGCACTTTTATTCCCACCCAAACCTAGGATCTTTAGTAGTTGCAGCCCTGCAGGAGAAGTCCAAATCTCCCCAAATCTCTGCAACAATTTAGCAGAGTTCCTGAGCAGGCAATCAGTGATGAGCCATGAATGGTCCTTACATATATCCATCATGGAAGAGGATAATCCATCAGAAGAGATGATTGACTTATTTGCCGCTAGGGATAATGCAAAATGTCAACTTTCGATCCAGAGGACGGTTGAGTCCCGGGGGTGTTAGCAGATGTCTTCCTCCTACAGTGGGACAAAGGCTTGCTGTATGCCTTTCCACCAGTTCCCCTGATTCACAGGGTGATTTCCAAGATCAAAAGACACAAAGCCATGATCATTCTGATGGCTCCGTACTAGCCAAGGCAGTTCTGATGATAGATGTCCTTTCAGCCTCTGGTCCAGCTCCCAGACTGCCTGGGTCTAATCTCACAACAGATGACTAAATACTCCATTGCAGCAACTGACAGTGTGGTGTTGGGTTGCTGAGCACCACGGACAGAGACTGCTCCTCACAGGTCCAGCAAATCCTGATATAAAGCAAACATCTACCAGACGAACATATTCTTCCAATTAGAAGTGATTTCTCTATATGTCCAAAAAGGCCAGGACTGGGTCCAAGCCTCAATACCAAAAATGTTTGACTATTTTATGAATCGCAGTCAGGCCGGTCTTTTACTCGGCTTTATTTAAGTCCACATTGCGGTGATTTCAGCTTGTCACCCAACTGTGCAGTTGTGCTCAGTCTTCCCTCACCCCACTGTCTCAAAGGGCTACTACATATTTACCCACCAGTCAGAGAGCCCACCCCTGCCTGGGTCCTCAGTATAGTCCTCCTGAGACTTGCAGAGCCTCCATTTGAGGCTCTCACAGAATGTTCATCACATGAACTCGCTCAGAAAAAGATCTTGCTAGTCACTATCACTTTGGCCAGAAGAATGAGTGAGATTCAGACACTTATGGCTGAGCTTCCCTGTGCAACATTCCATAGGGACACGGTGGTGCCAAGACTTCATGCAAAATACACCCCCACATTGGTCTCAGAATTTCATCTGAACCAATCAACCTACCTGCCTTCTTCCCAAAACCACATTTGGCACTGGGAAAACAGAAACTGTGCACACTAGAGCTTGACCCCCTTCTCACCTTCTTGCTATGGACTGTGAACTTTGGACAACAGTGGGGTGGTAGGAAGTGGTCCAGGGAGGGCACCTTAAGGCTCTTCTGGGTGTCAGACCTTTGATAGCCCTCACAGGGCCCTGGGTCAGATCCCGGTGAAGTGGGAGGGCTTGGGCTCACCTACCAACCCCCCCTCCCTGCAGTTCAAAGGGCCTGACCACTGGCCAGTGCTCCCCAGGATTGCAAACCATCACAGTGCCTGCCTTATTGCCCAGGGAAGAGGAAGGATGATTAGGCTACAGGCTGCCGTAACTGATGTTCCCAGAAGTGCTTTGAGATCCTTGGATGAAAGGTGTTCTAGAAGAGCAGTGTATTAATGCTGGCTAGTTTGAGGTACATCTGGGAATAATTAGTACTTTTAGCTAAAATTTTAAAACTTCCAAAGGAGGGGTGTGTTTGTGTATGTATATCTGTGTATCTCTGATTGTTTCTCTCTCCTCACCGTATACAGTGACTCAAAATGCTATCTGGATTGAGAAATTGGCTCACTGTCAAGAACAGTTCTGGTGATCATGATTTTGCCCCTTCAGAAGTGGAGGAGAATCTCCTGTCCTCTCTCGTGGCTGTGGTATATGAATGTAGGACACAGGTTGTCTGATCCCGTGGTACGATGGCATTCTCCATTAGCGTATTCAAAGACTACTGGCTCCATGAGCCTACAGGGATGGATTGACATGGTTGGCCTGCTCTTCAGTGTGTGCTCAAGTACTGCTCTCAGCCTGGAATAGTTGACAGTTTGACCAGAATACAAGTGTAATCACTGCCCCCACACTCCCTCCCCATGTCTACACTTAGGCTGAAACGAGAACTATTGTGCGCCTATTTGGATGAGTCCTGGGGTGGCGCCATCTTGGAGAATCCCATAGTCAGAGGAATTGTTTACCTGGGTATCAACTTTTGTCATGATGTTGGATTTTGGAGGCTATGGTATCAGTTTGAGAATAGAGTTGTCAGTTTGCAGGGCTGTGGTTTGCTTGTTAACCTGAAGATTTCCACATTGGCCTTGTCCCCTGATTAACAGACTAGGTGAGCACATTTGAAGGGGTATGTTTTTGGGATGGAGGCACTCCTACATATGGAGTAGGATGCACACATACTTGGGCAGTCTGATTTCTCTGAAAGTGTTCCAACACTATACCTCTCCTTAGCTCCCAGCTCTCTAGTGAGGCCCATTAGGAGCTGCCTTTATTCTGTATTTCTTCACCCAGGACAAAGATCAGTTTAAACACACTTCCCCCTTCTCTGTGCTCCTCCCTTTTCCATGGTGCCTGTCAGTGGTAAGTTTCTCTACCCTTGACTGGAGGGGAGAAGAGCCATCCATTATGAGCAAGAGAGCGTGTGAACACGGGGATTTTCAGGGGGCTTCCAGATGGAGAGAGGAAAGAGTGTAGAGCCCTGAAATGAGATTATTGGAGTGTGGAGACACATGAAATGTGTGCAGACATGCCTTGGACTTGTTTAGTGCTAGAGTTGAGTTCCTCAGAGCTGCCAGTGCCAAATATATTTGAGTTTCTCTTTGTGTGTGTCTGTGTGTGTGTGTCTGTGCGTGCAACGAACAGTTGGCCCTTTCTGTATCATAAAAACCTAATCTGATACTAGGAATGTATAATCTTAGTTACAGCAGTGAAAGTTGCAACTTCACCCAGGGCAAAGTGCAGGAGTGGGAGTTCTGGAAAGCTGTAATTGGGACAGTATTTTGGGGCATTAGTTCTTCCTTCATTTCAGTGAAGAGCAGCTGTGTGGAAGAAATCTGTTTTAAAATGGTGGATGGCAATTGTAAGCTTCATCTTGTTTTAATATAAATTCACTGTGGAGTTCTAGTTATGATAAATCATATACCTGTAAAATAAGCTAAGCATTGGGGCTATTGAGACACACATTTATGTGCTTCTCAAAATATATTGTGATGACTTTAATGTAGGTTTTTTGTCATACATCTGGATCCCATTAGCTGGTTAAAATTGGGTTATTTTAAGCTTATGACTGCACATACTTGAAGGGGGGGTATTGTATTTTTAGTTCAGCTTCACTGTACTTTCTTTCCAAATGCGTAAAGTGCTGCCTTTGCTTTCTGATTGTGTACTTTCCAAGGCAGAGAACCTCATGGCAATTCATGCAACTCCTTGAACAGGAACTCTGGATCTACTATTGTAATTTGTTTTTATATTGCATATATCCCAAAGCAAAATAAAGTCCGAGACAAAATCCCAGTAGAGTTCCTACCAGAAGAGGTAAGTCCCTGGTCTGTGTGGCCACATGGCTTATGTTGGCTTCTATTGCAGGGATGCTTGGATAGGTGAAGGGCTGGTTTCATCAGCAGTTTCTGGGGCACGCTGTACTATATTTAGATTGTGCTGCATTTGGGTACTCTGTTACATTTTACAAACCAAACGAACGTGTGCCATCATGTCTGAACGTTGTGAAAACGAATATTAATTTCATACCAAAGAAGAGAGTAAATCAGATTTACCATGGCAGCTGGAGCAGAGATTATTTGAGCACTCCTGAGGACAGAATGAACTGTCTGTGCTGTATTACCCACTCCCTCGGTGGCAGTAATGTCTGTGTACGTGGGGCACCAGTAACCAAATTAATTTTTCCCCTGTCTTTGGAGCTCACTCAAGCAGTTATCCAGCTAAAGACAATCTTTGTAATTCCCCGTGGCATTATAAAAATGTAATATTTTAAATTGATCAGAAACATAATTTAATTGCTCAAAATATTGTGTTTCTAGTTGCTTACAGGTTAAGGTTACTATTTCTCCTGTTACCTCTAACACTTCAAACTGTGATCTTGTCTGATCTTGTGAAAAGGATGTGGGAGTTGAGCTGAATCAGTACTTGGGTCAGAGCTCTCCAAGAAAAAACCAGGGTGTTCTATGAAGTTGAGTTGTGTCCCTCTGTGCGCTGTAT